AGTTTAACATGGGTCCGCAGGACAGCTTTCCTGGTGAGGCTCCGTAGGGAGAACCCACTTCCTTAACTGTTCTGGCCACCAGCTCCTAGAGGCCGCCCACATTCCTTGGTGAGTGGCCCAGCCATCACTCTAACCTCTGTGCCTCTCATCACCTCACCTCCTCCCCCAAAGCTGCAGGCCCACATCGCCTCTCTTCACTCTGACCCTCTTACCTTCCAGAGGGACCCTGGTGATGACTTGCTTATACCACATACTCTCCCCATCTCAAGATCCTTAACTTAACCGCATCTGCAAAGTCCCTTCCTATTGTGTAAGGTCACGTATTCACAGGTCCCAGGGATTTGGATGTGAACACTGGGGTCATTATTTAGCCTACCAGAGTCATTTAAAATGATCAGGCCATTTAACCTTCTGGAAACTGCCCTGAAATTTCACCAGATTTACAGACAACTTTCTATCTTCTTATTTTTCACTAATAAAATCTGCTTTTCTTTAGGTGTAACCAGTTGATAAAAATAATGCCATTTCTGATTCAATATGTTTTCCTAATTTGGATAATTATCAATGTTTTGATAGAGTAGTGTACTACAAGGTCATGGCAAATGTGTATTCTGTGTACACAGGCTAAATTGAGATGCAAACAACCATCATGATGTTTATCCTCTGGGTGAATTATTTCATACTCCCAAACAATGTACTCACCAACTTGCAAGACAAACTATTTTTTTTTATTGTGATAAAATATACATAACATAAAGTTTGCCATTTTAACCATTGTTAAGTATACAATCTAGTGTGTTAATTATATTCACAATGTCGGGCAAATATCACCACCATTTCCAAAACTCTCTCAACATCCCAAACAGAAACCCTGTATCCACTGAGCAATAACTCCCATTCCCTCCTCCTCCCAGCCCCTGCAAACCTCGAATCTACTTTCTCTCTCCATGAATTTGCCTATTTTAGATATTTCATTTAAGTGGTACATTATATTTGTCCTTTTCTGTCTGGTTTACTTTACTTACCATAATATTTTTCAAGGTTCAACCATGTTGTAGCATGTATAAGTACTTCTTTTTTTTTTAAGATGTATTTATTTATTTGAGAGAGAGGGAGAGAGTGCACGTGAGTGGGGGGAGGAGCAGAGGGAGAGGGAGAGAGAGAATTTCAAGTGGACTCCACACTGAGCGGAGACCCCAATGCGGGGCTCAATCTCAAGACCTTGAGATCATGACCTGAGCCAAAATCAAGAGCTGGACATTTAACTGACTGAGCCACCCAGGCACCCCAGTACTTTGTTCTTTTTATCACTGAATAATATTCCATTGTACGTGTAATACCACATTTTGGTTACCCACTGATGTTGATGACACTTGGGTTGTTCCCACCTTCTAGCTATTGTGACTAATGCTGTTATGAATATTGCTGTATGAGTATCAGTTTGAGCCCATGTTTTGGTTATACACTAGGAGTGGAATTGCTGGATGATAAAGTAGTCTATGTGTAACTTTTTGAGGAATTGCCAAACTGTTTTCCACAGTAGCTGTTCCATTTTACTTTCCCACAAGCAATGTACTAGAATTCTACTTTCTCCACATTTTCACCACAACTAGTAATTACTTTCTTTTATATTTTAACCATCCTAGTAGGCGTGACATGATATTTCCTGTGTTTTTGATTTGCATCTTTTCATGTGCTCACTGACCATCTGTGTATCTTTTGGGGGGAAATGTCTATTCAAATCTTTTGCCCATTTAGAAAATTAGGTTTGTGTTCTTGTGGTTGAGTTATAGGATTTTCTATATATTTTGGATATTTGTCCCTTATCAAGTGTATGATTTGCTAATAGTTTCTCCCATTCCATGGGTTGCCTTTTTACTCTCTTGAAGTCCAACTTATCGTTTCTATTATCACTTGTGTTTTTGATGTCATATTTAAGAAAATATGGCCAAACCTAAGTTTATGAAGACTTTTTCCTTTTTTTTCCCCAGAGTTTTATAGTGTTTAATTTTTAACTTTTATAGCTTTTAAATTTAGGTCTTTGATCCATTTTGAGTTAATATTTGTATATGGTGTAAAGGGTCCAACTTCATACTTTTGAATGTGGATATCCCAGCACCATTTGTTAAAAGACTGTCCTTTCCTTACTGAATGGTCTTGGCAACTTAGTTGAAAATCAGTTGATCATAGATGTGAAGGTTATTTCTGAGTTCTCAACTCTCTCAAGCCCACTGGTTTGTATGTCTTCCTTATGTCAGTACCACACTGTTTGGAGTATTGTAGCTTTGTAGTAAGTGTTAAGGGCAGGAAATGTGAGTCTTTCAACTTTGTTCTTTTTCAGATTGTTTTGGTTATTCTGGGTCCCTTGAAGTTCCATATGAATTTTAAGATGGGCTTTTCCATTTTTTAAAAAGCACTGTTGGGATTTTGATAGTGATTACACTGAATGTGCATATCACTCTGGGTAATACTGTCATCTTAGCAATATTAAGTCTTCCAACCCATGAACACAGGATGCCTTTCCATTTATTTAGGTTTTTTCTAATTCTTACAGCAATATTTTGTAGTTTTCAGTGTGAAAGTTTTGTGCCTCATCGGTTAAATTTATTCCTAAGAATTTTATTCTTTTGGAGGGTATTGCAAATGGGATTGTCTTAATTTCCTTTTCAGATTTTTCACTGCTAGTGCATAAAAATTCAACTGATTTTTGTATCCTGCAACTTTGCTAAATTCATTAATTATCCCTAAAAGGAGTGTGTGTGTGTGGGGGGGTATGTATGCATATTTGCATGTATTCTTTATGTTTTCTACATTTATGTAATCTATGGTATAGTCAGTTTTACTTCTTCTGTTCCAATATGGCTGCACTTTATTTCTTTTTTTCTTGTCTAATTCCTCTGGAACTGCCAATACTATGTTGAATAGAAGTGGCAAAAACAGGCATCCTTGTCTTGTTCCTGATATTAGGGGAAAAGCTTTCGTTCCTTCTCCATGATGTTAGTTGTGGGTTTTTTTATATTTATCTTTTATCATGCTGAGAAGGTTCTCTTCTATTCCTAGTTTATTATGAAGGGATGTCAGATGTTGTCAAGTGCTTTTTCCACATCAGTTGAAATGACCATGTGGTTCTCCCCCACCTTTATTCTATTCATGTGCTGTGTTACATCGATTGAGTTTGTATGCTGAACCATTATTACATTTCTGGGATAAATCCCCCTTGGTCATGGTGTATAATCCTTTCTATATGCTGCTGAATTCTATTTGCTAGCATCAGTTGAGGATTTTTGTGTCTACATTCAGAAAGGATATTGTCTAATTTTCTTGTAGTGTCTTCTCAGGCTTTGGTATCAGGGTAATGCTGGCCTCATAGAATGAGTTGAGAAGTATTTCTCCTCTTCTATTTATTTAATAAAAGGTTTTTCTTTGCTGGGAGTTTTTTTTTTTTTTATTGAATGTGTTGTTATTTTTTTCATAAATAGAAACCACATCACTTTATTTGTTACAGTGAATAATGAGAAGCACTAATTCAAGAGGGCCACAGAAAGCTTTTATACCCACATAATAGAAATGATAAGCACCTTCACCATCCATGCCTTTTGTTCACTTTTTCTTTTGATCTCTGTTCCCCCATGTACATCAGTATGTTGCTTCCAGAATGGTACTCTGCCCTTGAATCTTATACTAGTTGGGAGGCTAGTCTATCACCTTCCCTTAATAACTCCCAAGTTGTTGGGAGATTTTTGATTGCTGATCCAGTCTTCTTACTTGTTATGGGTCTATTCATATTTTCTTTTTCTTCTTGAGTCAGTTTTGGTAGTTTGAGTGCTTCTAGGGATTTGTCCATTCCCTCCGGGATATCCAATTTGTTTGGTATACAGCTGCTCATAGTATTCTCTTATAATGCTTTTTATTCTTTAATCAGTAGTAACATCCCCTCTTTAGTTTCTGATTTTATTGTATTTTGTTTTAAAGATTTTATTTATTTATTTATTTGACAGAGACAGACACAGCGAGAGAGGGAACACAAGCAGCGGGAGTGTGAGAGGGAGACGCAGACTCCTGCTGAGCAGGGAGCCTGATGTGGGACTTAATGCCAGGACCCTGGGATCATGACCTGAGCAGAAGGCAGACACTTAATGACTGAGCCACCCAGGCGCCCCTAGCTTCTGATTTTAGTAGTTTAAGTATTCTCTTTTTTCTTAATCTAACTAAAGGTTTGTCAATTTGTTGATCTTTCCAAAGAACCAGTGTTTGGTTTCATTGATTCTATTGTTTTTTGTATTCTCTATTTCATTTATTTCTGCTCTAATCCTTATTATCCTTATTATTTTCTTCCTCTTTATGGCTTCAAACTCAGTTTAATATATTCCTGAATTAGTTTTTTCCTCAAATACCTAAAATGTAAAAATAAATAAGTACCTCTGTGCCATCAGACAAAGAATAGCCTACTTGTTAGATTTACTGTTTAAATCCACATGAACACCTCTCATATAATTAACAGAATATTACTATGTCTTTATGAAGATGTTCAGAAAAGGCTTAAGGTCATGAAGGAGAGCTACCCCAGACTGAACATTAAGGCCATCCTCTAGTTTCCAAGACTGTGTCAGCCTTGAAACAACACCACCACAAGCCTCTTGGCACCTACAGGAAAAACTGAAATCAAGTCTCTCATTTTTAGACTATGGCGTCATCATGAAACACATCAGAACTTGGTCTATTTCTGTAGAAAACAAGCATGACAAGAATCCTCTGATAGCCTATGAACAATGATTTCTCCCCTTGAGAGAAAAGCATGGATCTAAGTGACACCATTACTATAATGTGATTCCACAACTCTCCCCATAAATGTGCTCCTCAGTCCCTAAGACTAGCTTTCTAAGGGTGTGCTTGGAAGAGCTGACTTCTCTCTGCTTCATTTGCATCTCTTGCTTAGCTTTCAAACGTCACCTTGTCTGACCCAGATCTCCATAACCAGATATCTCATGCTGACCACCTACCTCCTCCTCTTCCTTGGACTTCCCATGCTTCATAAACCATGATCATTCTGAGTGAGACACCCAAGGTCAGGTCTAAGGAGATGGGATCAGGTAACTTCAGCAAAATCAAGAAAGACATGACAGGTTTAACTGAAGGGGTTAAGTGGGGTTAATAATTACATACACCAATTAGGACTTTCTACGGAAAATAATGAAACACTAGTTCAAACAGTAAAGACGGTTATTACCTTAGATGACAGGAAGCCCAGAGGCGGTATACTCCAGGTTTCATTCATCAGCTCAATGGCATCATGAAGGACTCAGGTTCTTTCCACAATCGGCCATGTCATCTCGCTGTGTTGGCTTTGTTTTCAAGCTGGCTCCTCACTGGTTCTAAGATGGCTGCAGCAAGTCTAGTCATTGCATTTGGACATGCTAATGTCCAGAAAAGTTGCCTCTTCCTCAAGTGTATCATTCTTTTGCATTTTAAGAATTTTTTTTAAGATTATATTTAAAATTATTGGTATCTCTGTGCTTTGAATCTCTCTCATCTTTCCAAACCATGAATTGCATCTATTAAAAACAAAATGTTGGTATAAAATAAAATTTTAGAAATAAATTTCATGGAATAGATGCCGAGTGAGCTGGGAATTTTTAAGAGGTGGATAGAGGTAGAGGTGCATGGAATAGTAGAAGGTGAGAATCTAGTGGGGCTTAAATCCTGCAAGAACAGAAGTTTAGAAACAGGAGCAAAAGTTTTGAGCCAGGACTTCTTGGCCTCTCCATTTTTTGTTTGTTTGTTTGTTTGTACCTTCTTAATTCTAAAGGATTTGTATTTTAGAACTTGCCTTGGCTAAATTTTCTTAATCTTATGTTTGAAACTGTCTCATTTAATCAGTAACAAGTACTCCACCATCTTTGAAATATCCATTTGAGGCATTTCATTCACTGAATACCAACTCCTTCCCTTCCAGAATATTTAACTGTGCCAACTGCAATATTTCTTCGAGTCATTAGGATCTATGATTCACTCATCCGATAATGTGTTGACTGTTTATCACCCTATCATTTGTCTTTCTTAGAACCAAAAAAACTTTCTCAGAAACTGCTAAGTAGACTGCCCCTCCTATCTCAGTGACTAGAATTTAGTTACATGCTCTTTCCTAAACCAAAACTGGCAAGAAAAAATATAATTACCAGGATTGGTTTAAACCAATCAGGACTTTTTCCTTAAGTGGGGACAGAGGGACCTTCCTGAGAGGTGAATACATACACAATGATTCCAAGAAAAAAGGGAGAATAAATGTTGAGTGGGTTAACTAATATAACTGCTATAGTATTATGTGCAATATTTATCCTTTTAGCCCCATCTACAATGATACTTTTTGAGGTCACTGTTCATTTGTCAGGAATAGGTAGGTATCAGGAAAAGAAACACAAAGATAGCTCTCTTTCCACTTATCATATTCTAGAACTGGTTCTACTAAGTACTTGTTAGATGAGATGATTTTGGCAAGGCATCTAACTTCTCTTTGATTTCCACATCCACAACATGATATAAATACTGTTCTTCATAGGTCATAGGATAACTGGGAAGGTAAAATAATTATGTTGCATAAATACACAGCAATATTATTTCCACATTTTATGTTCCCACACTGTTTGTTCTATCTCATTTATTCATTCATACATACACCCTTTTAACAAGTAATTCCTGACAGTCTACTTGATGTAAGGGATGGATATTTAAGTATCAAAAAAGTTTTCACCATGGCTCTTGCATCTAAGGTATTAACTAAGAATGAGTTAGCAGCAACTGCTAACAGATGCCAACATTGCATTTCTAGCTTAGGTAATGTTGGATTTTAATACTTACTGATATACAATATAGGCAAGTAACTCAACCCAAGAAAGATGGATTTATGTTACAAGAAAATAGTAAACAGGGGTGCCTGGGTGGCTCAGTTGATTAAGTGTCTGCCTTCGGCCCAGGTCATGATCCCAGGGTCCTGGGATCAAGCCCCATGTTGGGGCTCTCTGATCAGCAGGGAGCCTGCTTCTCCCTCTTCCTCTGCCTGCCGCTCCCCCTGCTTGTCCTTTCTTTCTCCCTCTCTCTCTCTGTCAAATAAATAAATAAATAAATAAATTTTAAAAATAGTGAACAAAAACTGAAAGACTGTTTCATGCATGGGCTAGGGAGACAACATGAAATTGACATTAATGTACTAAGTAAAAAACGTTCTTTCTGATAAAAAGCTAATGAATAACTTTTCTCTGAAAGTTCTCTGTTCTTGGGAATAAGGAAATACTGATGGCTTTAAAGTCAGCTAACCCATTGTCTTAAAGGTCAAATTGCTCAAAGAGATTTTCCAATTTTGGAAAACATTTCAGAAAAAATAAGATGTTTAACAATTGCTATTGTCTATGCTTGTTCTTGAAAAATACAGGGAAGAAGAGAAATTTTTTTCCCGAGATTTAGAACCCATTATTCATCTTTGTGATGGGATAACAAGATCTTTCGGAGCGGACTTCTGGAGAAATTATGCCGCTGAGCAACAGTACTGGCATGTACAGGAAAATCATTACAGAACAGGAGGAGAAAGTGAATAGCTACAGTTTCCTCCTATTAAATGGAAGTAGCAAAGCACAGCAAGAATACTGGCAATTTAAACATTGTATCTGGTTTCCCAAATAGTTCAATGGATTTAGAACCAACATTTGATGGGAGGGAAGAATTCACATCAAAGTCCTAGGATGTGTCGAGACACTAGAAGAGAATCTTTGTCACTGCAAAATAACTCCCTTAGCAAGGTAAAACAGAGAATGTAAAAAAGCAAGTCACCTCCATCATTGTGCACGGTTCAGTGAAGTTCTACTCATCAACTGAAACACAACGTTAAACAATTCAGCTTGGCTTTTATATGCTGGGGAACAATGTAGTATCTTATCCGTGGAGTCTGGTGATCTATGCAACCTCTGCATTCAAGCAGGGTTGAATGGACTGATGTTGAAGCATGGATCACTCCAGCCCTGTCCATACACATGGACCCTTCTTCTGGTGGTTGTTTCTACAGCAATAAAGAACAAATAAGCACTAAATCAATAACCAGGAAAGGAAAGATGAAACAGCAGGGCAGTAAGATACTAGAGTTAAAACTTTCTTGGTGTAGGCACAAAGTTAGTTGCTTAATGTAGTTGTAAGATAACAAATATCTATGACAAACTGGCCATTGTCGGTTTACTTGGTTAAAGGAAAAGCAGTAACAAGAAACATTTTAATTATGTTCAGTAAAAGTTACAAATTGATTTGGGGCCAGGAAGTATATAAAGTCTTTATGTAAACTGCCTCACTTAATCTTATCAACAACTGCATAACATAGGTATTATCCCCAATTTATAGATGAAAACAAATTGAGGCAACAGTTTAACTTGCTCAAGATCTCACAGATATTAAGTGATGAAGCTGGAATTTGAGAACCAGAAAGTCTAAGTTCAGAACCATGTTTTTAATCAATATGTTCTATGCTTACATAGACAGCCTACCCTATCCCCCAAAGCATTTAGCCTTTCCTTTCTTTATTGTTTCTTCACCAGAAAGCCTCTTCTTTAGTAACATTGAAAAAAATATTATAGATATCTGTAACTTAAAATACTGTATTTGACACCATGCAATCTTAAGAATGGAACAATTATTTTAGAAGTCCTGTGAATAAATAATCTAGCAAAAATACCGTATTCTTTAATATAGTGGATTGATTAGAAAAGTTCTACTTAAGACAAATTAGAATAATGTAGAATAGAACTCAACTTTTTTCTTTTCCACTCCAAAGGACACAACAGATAATGTTCACTTCTGGATAAAATTACACAACCACTAGCAATTCAAGTCTTTCATTCTCTGTTGGATCCCCAGAGCTGGCCAACCAACTTTTTACTTGTTTCCCATTCCTCTCAGTTGCAAATCCTTTCCTATTTCTCTCAGTTCTAAATCCAATCCATTTCTACATTCCAAAGACCTAAATCCTATTCTGGGATTCAAGGATTCCTGGATTCAAGGGAATCCATGAATTCCCTTCTGCTAGACCAACAAATGTATCTACATGTGATTCCATCCTTCCAACCTTCTCTCAGAAAAATAAGGTCTCCTTTTGTTCTGGTCCAAATCAAATTCTCTGTGCTCTTGGTTCCATGCTCTCATTTCTTCAAGGAATCTGAACCACTAATTTTCCATTCTACCTCTCATGTTGTCTTAGATTTGTCAAATATATTTGCTATCATGCTCACAACCTCACATGAGGAAAAGCGATCCATCCATGGTCTTTACCAAGACACAACCATGTTTTATACCATGCAAACTCCTGGGTACTAGCTGATTGGACAAGGTGGGCAACTACCTAAAAGGGCGCCAACCTACAGAGTGGCCAGAGAATTAAGACATGGCCTGACATGAAAAGATGAGCAGGGCCTGTTGCCTACTACTTAAAACTTCTCAAAGCTACTCACTGCTTTAAGAATGAGAAACCCATTTTAAGGAAGATGAGTGGATTATTATTAGAAAAGTTAAGAAATGATCTTTGATGCATGTCTTGCTTGTGAAAGTAATTTTAATGTTCAGTGGAAGTTTATACAGTGTAGTTGCTAGAGAGCTATGCATCTTAGCACAGGAATAACATATAATATTACTGAAACATTATTGATAAAAATACCACTCATAGCAGCCTATTATATGAATTTTAAATGTCATCTGTGATTCTCACAGTCATTTTGCAATGTAGGTGCTAATATTCCTAGTTTTCAAATAGGAAACTAAGGCACAGAGAACCTGAGTTACTTCCTAAGGTCACTCAGTTAATGACTGGCAGAGCCTGGCATCTGGATCCAAGGCTTATATACTCTTTATACTACCTTTATATCCTCTTTATACTACCTCTGGCTTTTTCCTAGTGAAAAACATGAAGGCATTGCTTAACCTTATCGTTTGTCATCTTGGCCATAACAACAAAATGACTGGAGCTGGTTTAATAAATATACAAAACAGCATAACATTAACAGATGAGGAATGAGAGGAAGGAAAAAAAAATCAAGCTAAGGGCAAATTTAGTTTGTAGGAATGTGTGTCATTGATTATGTACGTAGGTAGACAGGGTCTCTAAAGGTTACTTCATTAGGAAGGATGGTGCCTTTGGGAAGACTTGGTACCTCCTGAGGATACAAAAGATCAAGCACGAGAGGTGATCATTATTAGGCACATATATTAAGCAAAATACAACGACATGCAACTGGCACAAATGCTTGCTGAATCCACTTCGGAATATCATCAGGCATTTCAGCCTATAAAATGTAGGGTTAAGAAAGTCCATAAAGGAAAGGTAGATGTTCACCAAATATTAATTTGAGCAAAGTTCTGTGAAAATATCACCGAACTGTGAATATTCACTCTACAAAGTGGCATCTCGATAAAAGAACAAAAAGATGGCTTCCTGCTACAGAATATCTTAAAATTTGCAGTGTCCAAGTTGGAATCTATTCTTGATTTTACACCATTTTGTTCAGTGGTTAACATTTAGAGGTACACCTCTCTGAACCAGAGACACCTCAACAAGGTGAAAAGTAGTTAAGATGGGCTTACCAAGAGCAATTTAGTAGTGTCTTTGAAGGAAAAGCTCCATTACAAAAACAGATGACTTCTTTAATCTTTATTCTTTTCCCAACTAGTGTACAAATTGGTGGTCAAGTGGAGAAACCAACGTATTGTTCAGATTTATGATTTTTTCCCTTGGATCAAAGATTCTGAGCACTAACCTATGACAACACGTAGCTGCTGACTTGAGTATGTAATTACACGCGAGCGGAGTTTCAGCTTGGAGTGGTGGTAAACAGAGACCATGTTTGCTCCATATAGCAGATTAGCTCATACTTAATAATGCCGTCAATCACGGGCTATGATTCATCACAAGTGATCATGGTTGTGCTGTCTCTACTCTGAAAGCCTCGGATGCCAACACGCACAATCCTTCCGGAGTGCCGTGGCGCTGAGCTCAGTCAGCTCCGCTAGCCCAGGTCCAGACACTACCGAAGGCTCGGGAATTAGGTTTCCTGGAGAACAGAGCCTCTCTCCGGTTCTGGTGCGCCTGGCTGCACGCTATTATCAAACTCCAACCAGGGAACAGGTTTGGACTTCGGGAGGCAAACTGGGGCAGGGCCCGGGGACCTACTCTGTGAACAACAGCCTCAGGCGCCCTGGTGGTTCGGAGAGCACGTTTTCAACACCACCGGTGAACGGGGCGGGGCCCGAGTCAGCCATTGTAAGGTGTCCTGTGCGGCGGGTCTCCGAGACGCGGGCTCATTCCCGCCCAGAGCATCCGAAAGAGCAGAGCAGCGGTTGAGTCAGCCCCGGAGGCACCTGCCCTAAGAAGCTCGCCCACGCGGGAGGCCCCGCCGACGCCAGTTCCACCTCAGCCACAGGTCTCCGAAGCTCTCCGGCGTTTCGTGCCGGCGCCACCCGAGCGGGAGGCGAGAGTCTCCGGGAGCTCCCCTCCTCAGCGCCCGCGCCACCCCCGCGCCGCGCAGCGAATCCTGGGGGCGCAGAGCCAGGCCGGAAGCGCCGTCCGGGCCCGCCCCCTGCCCGCCGGAGCCGGAAGTCGCAACCGCGGCCGGTACGTCGCCCTCCGAGGGCTGCGCCGCACCATGCTCCGCGGACCCGAGCGCCTCGTCAAGGTCTCCGTGGCACCGGTCGCGGCCCTGGCTGTGGCGCTGCTCTCGTCGCTCTCGCGCTGCTCCTTCCTGGAGCCGGAGCACCCCGCGGTCTCGGCGCTCAGCCCCTACTTCGGCACCAAGACCCGCTACGAGGATGCCAACCCCGGGCTGCTGCCGGACCCCGAGGCGCCGCGGAGGGACCCTGAGCTGCTGGAGGACACCTGCACCCCGGTGCAGCTGGTCGCCCTCATCCGCCACGGCACCCGCTACCCTACGGCCAAGCAGATCCGCAAGCTGCGGCAGCTGCACGGCCTGCTGCAAGCCCGCCGGTCCGGCGACAGGCGCGCTGGCCCCGCGGGCGGCCGCGACCTGGGCGCCGCGCTGGCCGACTGGCCGCTGGGGTACGCGGACTGGATGGACGGGCAGCTGGTGGAGAAGGGGCGGCAGGACATGCGACAGCTGGCGCTGCGCCTGGCCTCCCTCTTTCCGGCTCTCTTCAGCCTCGAGAACTACGGCCGCCTGCAGCTGGTCACCAGCTCCAAACACCGTTGCGTGGACAGCGGCGCCGCCTTCCTGCAGGGGCTGTGGCAGCACTACCACCCGGGCCTGCCGCCGCCCGACGTCGCAGGTGCCGGCCCGGGGCCGCCGCGGGCAGGGTCCCCTGGCTCGGTCGCCCCTCACTCCTTCCGTCCCCCGGGTGCCCATCCCGGGGCGCGCGTTCGGGGCTGGGCGGTGTGTCTCCCTTGTCCCCGCGCATACTCCTCTGTCGGTTCATCAGGGACGCAGTGGGCCCCTTCCAGGGGCTGGACGTGGTAGCGAGCGTTGGGGGACCCGACAGGAGAGGAGGCCGACTTTTCTTTTTTTTAAATGACGTATTGGTTCTGGGCCCACATCCTGTTTCAGGAAGCGACTCTCAAACTTTCTTTACTGCTGTGCTTTTTTCTCTGTTTTGATCTTGTATATACTGTAGACTTACCCTCCCTGTCGCTGTGGGTCACGGTCACACTCAGTACTTGCCTAATTTATTCCATTACTTTTGCAGAATTGGAGAGATCATCTAGTGGGGCCCTGTACTCCACAGGTGAAGAAGCTGAGCCCGGGAATGTGCCTTGTTGATTGTCCTTGGTTAGTGTGAGGACCAGAGTCGGGCCTGGAATCCATGTCCCACCCTCAGAAAACGTTTAATAGTCACAGATAACTAAGAATAACAGACACCTAACGCCTACTGTATGGTTTTGTGCCAGGCATGCCTGACATTTATTTCACTAAATCCTTACAAAAGCCCTCTGAGGTTGGTAGTATTTTCCCCCTACCTAACAGATGAGGAAATTGAACGATAGGAACACTAAATAATCTACCTAATTTCATATGGCTAGGTACGGACCCAGGAAATCTGATTTAGAGCTTGGTCTCTCAACCCTTATACTCTGCAGCGTCCATTCACTCTATAACTTAGAAGTAAGGATGAAAATAATATAACAGGTTTGTGTCAGAGAGATGAGCAAGTGTTAATATTTTGTTGGCCAGTTTTCAGATCAGAGATGAGGTGAGACATTGTTTAGCTTTAAACCCAAGTGAAAAATAAATTAGAAGTAGACTGGTTTGTCATTTTTCCAGTAGCATCCTCTCTTAACGCAGTTCAATCATCTCCAAGAGGTTGTTCTGTTGATTGTGTGTCATGTTACTGCTATGTGGGTGGTTCTGTTGGCTGACTTGTTTACTTGTTGAATTGTGCTTTTTAGTGATTAATATAAGTGAAAATTCCCCACAAATCTGTTAAATTAAGTGAACATTCAAAGCAGAATATACTTCGCCATGGCACAGTGTTTATAGTGTATACCAAAAAGGGGCTACTGGCCCTCCTGGGATGAGGTCTTAGAGATTGAGCTCTTTGCCTAGCTATTTCATTATAGTCTCTCTCTCTTTATATATATATATATATATATATAAATATATATATAAATAATTATAATTGCCTGTTGTGTACACCTGGGCTTTCAAGGGACTCCACTGAATTAGATTTTGTATTCTTAACAGCAAAAGGACAATACCTTTTTTTTTTAAAGATTTTATTTATTTATTTGAGAGAGAGAATGAGACATGAGAGGGGGGAGGGTCAGAGGGAGAAGCAGACTCCCTGCTGAGCAGGGAGCCCGATGTGGGACTCGATCCCGGGACTCCAGGATCATGACCTGAGCCAAAGGCAGTCGCTTAACCAACGGAGCCACCCAGGCACCCAATACCTTTGTTTCTGTTTGAAGAGTAGCAATAATGAGTTAATAGCAAGGACGAAGAATCCAGATCCACTTGGGAAATTGTATTTTGAGGCCACAGAGAGAGGACAAAGGTCACTTATTTTCCGAGTCAAGCTGTTTTACTGTAATCCAGTTGGCAGTGACGTTGGGCATGATTATACATTTCAGGAGGTCCTGAAATGGACACGCACACATACATATAAATACATTTTTTCACACCCACATCGAAAGCAAAACTACTTTGACCGATTTGATTTTCTCATTTTGTATACAGCAGTAGTGTTTTTGGTGTTCTTTTCGTGGTAAATTATTGGAGAAATGATTGAAATTGATGTGTTTTGAATATGACTGAAAAAACTTAAAAGGCACCCCAGTAGTTGAGGCATGATTGCAGATCTTTTATAATACATATTTGCTGCCAAATTGGGAAAATAATGGAACTTAGTGATTCTAAATGGAAAGCATCTGGGAGCTTCAGTTATAAAATAAACCAAAAGCAGAAGCACCAAGCACCATGAAATACAGAAGATCTGAAATGTTGATGTTTTGTGCTGTTGTCAGTAGTTTTTGTCCAAAGCAGTCTTTTGTAAAGAAACACAGCGTTGGGAAAGTTAATAGAGAAAATAAAATACACTTATGTAGACTTTGGCTTAGAGGAGAAAAACAGATTTGATCTGCTGAATTAGTCTCTCAACATTGTAGTTAGGAACTTTGCTAGTTTTCAGTTTGCTTTCTCAAGTTTTCTGTGCCTGACAAACGGTACTTACAAAACACATTTCTGCACTTCTTAGGATTTTCATATCTAATTATTTTTGTTTTCTTTCAGAAAATACTTATTTCAACCACCTTTTTTTTCACTGTGTTGTAATGCCGTAACATCTTATCTCTGAGTCTCTTTCTTTAGTCTTTTCTAGCATATACTCTCATGAATTACCATCATTACAGATGGGGAATAGTTTTGCCCTGTCTTTCTTGATTAGTTTGTGCTTATTTCAGACATGCCAATAAATAAGCAGGTTTTTAGTGTTCTTTTTCACCCTTGAAACAAAATTTTCAGTAATCTGAGATTATCATTCATGTTGATGGTATGTGTATATATATATGTGTGTATAAACAATTTTTTTTCTGTTTCAGACATGGAGTGTGGACCTCCAAGAATTAATGATAAACTAATGAGGTTCTTTGATCATTGTGAGAAGTTTTTAACTGAAGTGGAAAAGAATGCTACCGCTCTTTATCATGTAGAAGCCTTTAAAACTGGACCAGAAATGCAGAACATTTTAAAAAAGGTTGCAGCTACTTTGCAAGTGCCAGTCAACAATTTAAATGCAGGTAATGTGCCCATTATCTTTCATTCGAACTCTGAAATAATTTAAATGATTTTCAAACTCTGAAAATGAGAAAATATGGAAGCATAAAGTAATTCCTTTTAAAGGCCCACAATTGATTTTACATTAAGAAAATAATACGTTCTAGGTCAAGAAAATTGTGTATCTCATGCTTATTGTTTTTTTTTTTTTTAAAGATTTAAAAAATTTTTTTATTAGAGAGTACAAGCAGGGGGAGCGGCAGGCAGAAGGAGAAGGAGAAGCAGGCTCCCCGCTGAGCAGGGAGCCTGATATGGGGCTCGATCCCAGGACCCCAGGATCACGACCCGAGCCGAGGGCAGACACTTAACTGTCTGAGCCACCCAGGCACCCTCATGCTTACTGTTTTGAGATTCATATACTTCTTTGAGCCTTATGTAAATTAATGTACAGGATTCTTGCTATATCCTGGAATCTTTTTTTTTTTTTTTGAGAGCAGAGGTATATAAAGCTTCAACTCTAAGCATTATTTATATAAATTATATTTTTTGAATTATTTCCTCATAAAATGATAAAAGTAGAAAATTATATAAAATTCTTTAGCTTTTGAAGCCATTCAGAAGTGTGTATGTGTTAATGTTTTGAGGAGGGGGTATTAGTGAAAAAAGCAAAGTAGTGTGGGTATTTTCTTTGAGGCTTTTAAACCTAGAGATGCTAAAAAGAATGAACACTTGTGTCTGTCAAAAGGTATTGCGGTGGACAGGCTGCCTGTTGCACTTTGTCATGCAGCCCAGTACACCAGGCGGTGAAAGGGGGCACTATTAATAACTATGCTGGGAAAGCAGGTGGGAAGCCAGGGCACATGCTCACCTACCAACAGGAAACGTAGAAAAAGTAATGGGATTTTTCTCTGATTTCTAAGAATTCATACTTCATACAGCAAATGTTGACAAACATACATACAAAGACTGTGGATTTCTTATATTGTGAATAAATTTCCAAAAAGCTAGAAGTAGGAGATGGTGGGAAAATAATAGACTAGAGTCATGGAACCTGAATGCTTTATAAGCATCAAAAAAGTGAAGATGCCTGGACTAGCATTTAAAATTGAATTTTTTCTCTTTCCCCAAAGTGGCTAAACATTGTGGCCATCTACAGAGCTTTAAAAATTATTTATTTTAGGGGCGCCTGGCTAGTTCAGTTGATAGAGTAGGTGACTCTTGATCTCAAAGCTGTGAGTCCACGTTGGGTATGGAGATTACTTAAAAATAAAATCTTTAAGGGCGCCTG